GCCATTCCCCCCCCGGGGGGGGGTGATTTCTTGCTTTCTGTCTCTCTGTCTCTGTATTTCTAGCGAACGCACATGCCCTATAGAAAACAAAACAAAACAAAACAAAAAAACTCTCAAAACAAAACAAAACAAAACCAACAAACAAAAGAACAAAAAAACCCAAAGAAGACAGACATCCTTCACTGCCTCCAGCCATGGTTTCTGGCTGGGAGATGCTTTTCTGATGGTCAAAGACATGGCTATTAAAAAACAAAAGAACAACAACAACAAAAACCAACTTCCACTGTGCCTGTAGGAGGTGGAGATGCCAGAGCTGTTTGACTGAAAGGTCTGGACGAGGACTAGGCTATGCTTCAAGACAACTGATCAAGGCCTTTGCTGATCCAAAAGTCTTCCCTCCAGAATCAACAGGCTCTGGGTTCTTCATGGAATTTTTGGAGCCAAACCTGAAAGTCTTGACAGGCAAAGTGTCAGGAAAGGCTCAGATAGGTGAGCTGGGTTTCTATGCTTGAATCCCTACATCATCTCCACTTTTCAAAGGGAATAGCACCTTCGAGGAGTAGCGGCAACACTGCTTCCATGAGAATTCAGACATCATTGCTCTACGAATCATTATTTATAATATGTGGGGTAGTTATATGGGGAGCAGTGGCACATTTCTCATGCTTGACCACCTACAACCAGTGGCATGAGGAAATATGAAATCAAAGAAAATTCCTGGTATGGCCAGAAATCTCTATTCAACATTCATTTAGCAAGTACTTAACTAAGCACAGACCATGTGCCATTCACTGCTGTTGCCGATTTTTGGTCCAGGATCTAAGAATGAATCTCAGGCCCCTAAGCAAACTTTGTGAGGGGGACTTTTCCCATTCATCAGTTTAAGGGATAATTGTTATCATGTATTTTAGAGGTGGCAATAGGCTGTTCGGTTGGGAACTCCCAAATTAGTTTCCTCAGGACATAACTATATTTAATAAATTAACACACTAGCACAAAGAGGCCACTATAACTCATCACCTATCAAACTGACATCTTCCTACTTCATGGGTACTTTCACGGACTCTCACTAAAGCTTACCCTTATTGGTATTCCTAACAACAAACATAACCAGAATTAAGAAAGTCACCCCACCATTGCTGATGTAACTGACGAATCTGAAGATTTGTATTTGCAATAAATACTGTGAGGAAGTCTATGGGCTCCCTCTAATCTCATTCTAGGAGTGACCTGCTCAGTAAACTCCCTTCATCTTGATCAGGTAATCAATTTCTTAATAATGAGTGGATTTTATTCAATTACTACTGTAGAATACTAAGCATGCTGTTTAGGTGTTGTATTCAACCTAGTTAAAACAAAGTTAACCAAGTATGATCAGTAGCTTACAACATCCCTTCTGATCCCAGAAGATACAGCCTGAACCTGTGTTGCCTGCCCCATGCTTCTCAGCCCTCCAGATTACCAACCTCCTCATTCCCCTTTCTTACAGCTGACAAGCACAAATTACAGGCTAATTAATATAAATGAAGACTGCATAATTTATAGACCTAGTAATAAGATGCGTTATAGGAGTCCTATAGGAAACGTGAATCTCTGAACTCTGGGAAACTTTTCCATTGGGACATCTGGCTTCCTCTTTATGCCTGTGTAGCCCTGAAGGATGTACTTTCCAGAGATGGCCATGAAGGACCTTGCCTCTCATCTTCCCTATTGCCATGCATGTATGTTCTATGAAGCCAAATTATTTACTCCATATTAATCTATTTTTATTAATCTATTTTATTGTCTATTTTATTCTGTTAAGTGTATTACATGAAAATCCAGAGCACTTAAAATTGTTTGGATCTCTGTTAAGAGCAGGTGTGCTAGACAAATTTACACTCACCATATAGCTACTGCCTGCCTCTCTCAAAATTAGTTGAAGAGATATAGAATTTTTTATTCCCTCTGCCTGGAACATTCTCTTTTTGCTCCTTCAGCTGGTCAGTTCATCCTTCAGTTTACTTCTTTGAGGGGCTTCTCTAGCCATCTCCTTGACAAAGTTAGTGACTCTCATTTGCATTACTCCCTGCAGAATAGCAGTAATCACACTTTAACTCATTTATTGTTTAATGTTTCTCTCTCCTACTAGAACAAAATCTCCACTACCAGAGACTGTTTACTGCATCCAGAAGTGTCTTTTACACTAAAAATGCTTACAGAGGGACCAGCAGTTGGCATAATGGCTATGTTACTGGCCTCCCATGTAGCCGACCATGATTTAAGTCTCAGACCCGGTGGCTTAAACTCACATCGGGCATGCGTGTGTGTGCCCAAGATCCCGAGAGGAAACTGGAGGAGGAGGGATTGTGGCGTGGCCATCCACCCTGGGGGGTGATTTCTTGTTTTCTGTCTGTCTCTTTCTGGTGAGTGCATGTACCCTTTAGCAAAAACCTCTCCAAAAAAAAAAAAATGCTTACAGGTATTCATTGAATGAAAACTTAGAACTTAACATTCTGATAACAATAGACACTTGGTCAAAAACTAAAAACCCAGTCACTTAGCAATTATTATTGTTGTTACTATTTTTAGATAGGGTCTCACTGTCCTGATCCTCCTGCCTCAGCCTCAAGCTGAGAAAGGCCCAGCTTTTTCCTTTTTTTCCCAAATAATTATTCATTTATTATTAATTCAACAGAGACACAGGGAGAGAGGGCGAGGGAAAGTGAGAAAGCAGGCCACCCGGTCTGGGACTCAAACCGTGGTCAGCCATGTGAGTCCAGCGCTTCAACCACCATGCCACCCGCTGGCCCTGGCTCAACTTTTAAATAATATATAGGCTCTCTGGGGCCAGAGGTGGTGTAGTGGTTGAGATGCTGGACTCCCACATGGCTGACCACAGTTCAAGTTCTGGACCTGTTGGCTTGAAACTTACGCTGTGCATGTGTGAGTATGTGCCCTAAACCCAAGAGGAGAATGGAGAAGGGATTGCAGCATGGCCATCCCCCTGGGGGTGATTTCTCACTTTCTGTCTCTGTGGTGAGCGCACAGGCACTTATAACGAAAATTTCTCTGGAAAAAAAAAAAAAAAAGATAGGCTCTCATTAATGTTGCTCAGGCTAGCCTTGCATTTGCAATTCTCCACCAATCTCCTCAGTTACTGGGATTGAAGGTGCATAGCATGCCACTGCACCTGCCTTCAGGTTGGATTTAAAATCAAATCTAGGCTTTCCATGGTGTCCCAGCCTGTGGAGCACAGCCCCTCAGCAGCATGCACCACTGCAGTTGGGCCTCACAACTGTTCATCGAGCATCTAGAGTGCATAATGCATAATAGGAGGACTGAAAAAAAAAGTACCGATCACCCTTCCTGCTCTCAAAAGGATTTCCATATGATGGGTGAGCCACTTGCATACAAATAGCACATAAATCCCAAGTACCAAAAGTGAATGGGTGAATAATTAAATTAATAAACATGTAATTGCCTGAGGGGGCATGCACTCATCAGGGAGAGAAAGAGAGAAAAGGAGAGGGAGAAAGCACTGCACAATAGGGCATGGCCACCCCCAATCCCTTCCCCATTTCTCCATCCTGACACAATTTTGTTTTTCAAGCTGCCAGAGGCAGGATTAGAACTGCAGTCTGCCATATGGGATATGGCTCTCTTAACCACTAAGCTATGGGGCTGGCCCAGTGCTCACAAATATTTGAGAAGGGGACAAGCAGTTAGTGTAATGGCTATATCGCTGGACTCCCATGTAGTAGACCATGGTTCGCATCCCGAACCCGGTGGCTTAAACTCACGCCGGGCGCGTGTGTGTGCATGCCCAAGATCCTGAGAGGAGAATGGAGGAGAAGGGATTGTGACGTGGCCATCCCCCCTGGGGGGTGATTTCTCACTTTCCATCTCTCTGTCTGTCTGGCGAGCGTACGCACCCTATAGCAAAAACCTCTCCAAAAAAAAAAAGTAAAAAAAAAATATATTGTTGTGGAATATCTGGCTTTGCTAGGGTGGGAGCAACATTTTCACGTAGGTAACTGTCTACATTTTAAGTGGAACCAGAACTCTTGTGTACTTATCCTTACAAATGAATTTCACATTTTTCTTTTCCAATTAAGAATGAAAATTGGGTATGGAGGTTAAAGTGTTGGATCCCATGCCAGTTGTTTTTTTTTTTTTTTTGAGAGGTTTTCGCTATAGGGCGCATGTGCTTGCCAGACAGACAGAGAAAGACAGAGGCAGAAAGCAAGAAATCACCCCCCGGGGGGATGGCCACACCACAATCCCCTCTCCTCCATTCTCCTCTCGGGATCTTGGGCACACATGCACACGCACCCGGTGTGAGTTTTAAGCCACTGGGTCCAGGACGTGAACCACGTTGACTACGTGGGAGTCCAGTGACACAGCCATTATGCCGCTAACTGCTGGTCCCAATCCCATGCCAGTTTCATGGTTTGAGTTCCAGATATGGTGGCTTGAGAATTACACAGGGCACATGTGTGCACATGTCCAAAATCTTGAGAGGAGACTGGAGAAGGTTGTGGCAAGGCCATCCCCTCTGGAGGGGTAATTTCTCATTCTCTTTCTCATGAGTACACATGTCCAATAGCAAAAATAAATAAATAAAAATTTAAAAAGAGCGAATATAACATTACGATTTTAACTAGGATTTTACTAAAATTAACTTTGGGAGAATTAACATTATTTTATTTGGTCTTCTCATACAGAAATACCGGTATTTTCTCTCTTTTATACACAGCGCACCTGCCATATTCCTTAAGATACAGAATAATGATTTGTTAACTCATTTTAACTTAAATCTCATATTGCTACAAATACAAACTGAGGTGGCTTTTGGTATTAAAATACATTTAAAGGTAAATAGGGAAATCAGAATTATTAAGCAGGAACCAAATAATCATATAGGTTCACATATTTTGTTATGTACCTATGGCGCAACAAAATTTAACATATTTAGCTCTGTGTTTCATAGCAGAAAAGACAAAAAGAAACACTGGATTGCATAGTTTTCACAGTTTAATAAAAAGAAGGTGATTTTATTTTGGAGACATTTTTCTTGCATTGCATCCTAGTTGAATAACAAAACAACATAAATTCAATATTGTTTTATAGAAAATAGCGATATATCCTTCAATTGACTGTTTCTTCCCTAACCTTTATAAAGGCCAAGAATACACCTATATTAATAGAAAAACAAGAAATTCTAAATAATCAATGTGAAAAGTTGAAGCTATCCTGACCATTTTTTCAGAACAGTTGTTGAAAGTATTTTAGAAAAAACCTCTAGTTGGAAAACATCAGAAACAAAAGAAATCTCATATTTAATGCAAACAAGAGAATGCCATGCTGCGTTTAGTTCCACAACAAAAGCTACATAAACCTGTGTGTGGGATGAGGAATGGGTGTATGAAGATAACATAAAGAAAACTGAGAGGTAGAAGGTAACTCTGCTTACTGACTGCAAATCTTGTTTGGAGAGAAACCTCTGAAAAATCATAAAGTAGCCAAGTTCTCATATACTAATATGCCAGAGGAAGAACCAATATAATCTCCTGAAACCTAAGATTTGGGTCAGTTCTCAGGGTAACTCACTAAGGGGGTTTGGTTCCACCAATGAATAAAGTTTCTAATTCTACACTGAGCTCATCTTTTGGAACATCAATCTCATCTCCTGGTTCTTCCCCAAGCTTTCTCCACCAGGGGGCTTGTATGTGCTTCAGGGTGGTGAGATGGGCTTGCTTGGCCTTGGCTGCCACAGGCCTGGATCTGCTTAGGAAGAGTTCAGGTTCTCTCCCTTCTGCTTCCTTCAGACTTGGTGCTTCTGTAGTAAACAGAAAATAAACAAGTGAGTAGAAGAGTCCTGCGCCAAGCAAGTTGGAACTTGGAAACTGCAGAGTTGAACTATGCTAGAGCACACAGAGATAGGATTCCAAGTCTGAATCTAATGATCACTGCTAACTGTGGATGTTACACACCGAGGCTGAGAGTAACCGCCCCCATACTTTCGCCACTTCTGTGTTTATAAGGGAGGAATTCAAAATATAAAGATTTTTGTTAAATGGTTTACTCAAAGAATAGGAACTTAAAAATACATAGGCCTGGCCACAGTGGCATAGGCTGCTAAGATGCTGTGTTCTACAGGGGAGGCCTGGTTTGATTCTCAGTGCAACCTAAAAACCAGATGCAGCAGTGTGCACCTGTAACCCAGAGACTGAGGAGGCAGAAGAAGATTGTGAGTTCAAGGCTGGCCTGAGCTACACAGCAAGACCCTGTCTCAAAAAGAGATGGGTACCGTGGTGCATGCCTGAGGTTCCAGGAAGCTGAGGCAAGAAGATCTCAACACAGACCTTGTCTTAAAAAAAAAAAAAAAAAAAAAAGAAAAGAGAAAAATTAGACTTCATCCTATAAATGAGAAGCTCAGTTTCAGCCTCTTATTCAATTCAAAAATAAAAATACAGTAATAGCCATTAAATAGAAAGCCCTGGCCTTTCTGCTCCACATATACTAAATGAAATTCCAGAAGCTGAATGACACACTCTTCATGGATGGGATCTATCATTAAGTGGACTAGTAGTATGAGGCACAGATGAATTAATTTCTGTGAAAGTACTTCATTAAAAATCATAAAAACATGTTCATGTGTGCATCCATAATCCCGACTAGCTGGAAGGCCAGGACTGGGGGATAATCAGGCCCTATCAACAGTGTTGGTTTCTTTTGCTGAAGAAATAAAATTTAAAAAAGGTATAAAAATACCCCATAATGGCACTATAACTACTGTCATCATCTGTTAGGTCTTCAGGAAAGTCATGACATATTTTCTATGCAAAAATGCAACATGACTTTACCAACAACCCAGTACTTCTAAAATATGACTAAGAGCTTTTGAGACTACATAGGAGAATATGGCTGGAAGGGCTCAGCACCTTTGAAATTAGTAACTTTTGTTTGAGCTAGTACAAAGAATGACAGCGTTGATGGGAGAGGCAGGCAGGAGTTGTTATGGAACCTGCAGTATTTAAAAACGTTGCATGCATGGGACCAGCAGATGGCATAACAGTTACATCGCTGGATTCCCAGGCAGTTGAGCGTGGTTCAAGTCCCAGACCCAGTGGCTTAAACTCATGATGGGCGTGTGTGTGTGTGTGTGTGTGTGCCAAAAATCCAAAGAGGAGATTGGGGGAGAAGTGATTGCAGCATGGCCATCTCCCATGGGGGGTGATTTCTTGTTTTCTGTCTCTCTGTCTCTGTCTCTCTAGTAAGCGCATGCATCTGATAGCAAAAATCTCTAAAAAGAAACAAAACAAAACAAAACAAAATCATGTGCTGGTATGAACTAGCTGTAGCAATTTCCTAAGGACATAGGTGAAAAAACGATTAATGGTGCTTTCTTTCTGAAGGTTTTAGATGTCACAGATCATGCATAAATTCTTCTTTTTAGGAAATAAAAATGGAGTGAACACATACTTATTAGTTGTTCAATATTGGTGCTGATCTGAGCCATCAGAGCCTCTCTGTGCTGCTGGGCTCTCTCTTCTAGGGCCCTGCCCATAAAGTAGTGTTGCAGTCGTTCTTGAGCTTGGGCATGGAGCTCCCTGCTGGCCACATCTGACATCTGAGAACCCTAGGGACACAGGACAGAAACACTTGTCACAGGAAGGAAATCTGTATCAAAATATGTTCATCCAGCCATTTAGAAGAGGTTTCAGAATACTTAGCTGTCCCTCATTTAATCATGTCTACCTTGGACACTTATGCAAATACTTGTCTCTTAAAAATAACCTTACAGAAAATGCCGACGGGGAAGTATCTTTTTGGTGTGCTCCCATACCTTATTTCCTCAGGTAATATAGTATAATGTGAGAAGAGATAAGGTTGAAAGATCACAGTGAAAACTGCAAACGATTTGATAAAGACATTGACCTGGAAGAGGGATAACAAGGCTATCCCCTTCCACCTACACCCCATCTAAAAGACTATCTTAATCTCTACCCTATCCTCACTCACAAACTTACCTAAGCCCCAATTTTTTAACTGAAATTCCGTACCTGTTAAACACTATGTCCCCATTCCACTCCCAACCCCCTCCTCTTGGAAACTATGATTCTACTCTCAATTTCTATAAATCTGACTACTCTAGGTAACTCAGGAAAGTGGAATCATACAGTATTTGTCCTTCCATGTCTGGCTTATTTCAAGATTGGCTTCATATACTTTGAAGTTCTGTTATTAGGTACACAGACATTGAGAGTTACATTAGAATGACTATTATCCAAAAACCACCTCAAAAAATTCTGGTGAGGTTGAGGAGAGAAGGAAACTACCATACACTGTTGGTGGGAATATAAATTTATATAACTACTATGGAAAACAGTATGGAGATTCCTCAAAAAAACTAAAACTGGGACTAAATTATGATTCAGCAATCCCACTCCTAGGTATATATACCCAAAGGAAAGGATATCAGAGTGTTGAGATATTTGCATTCCCATGTTTACTGCAAATCTAGTCACAATAGCCAAGACATAAAATCAATCTGTCCATCTACAGATAAATGGATAAAATAAGTGGAGTTGATAAGCAGAGGTACAGGTATTAAATGACACGTATGTTGAGTCACTTTAAAGGCATAAAGAGAAATGACATTCAAAGGCAGGAGTATGTACTACTGAGTCAAGAACTCAGAAGGGAGAAGCAAGCAAGCCTAATCTGTTCTACCATGATCATAGAAAGTTAACGATATAAACATTTCTATTGGGAAAAAGGTTGTCCTTGAGCATTGGGCTCCCTGCTGGTCACCCTGCGGTATTATTGTGCTAAAATTGTAAGAGGAAAATAGTCAAATGCTATATCTAATTGATTCATGAAGACTCATTAACAGTCTAGTAAATATGTTCTTACATGTGTGGCTATGTATATATGTTAAGAATATTTATTGATTGATAGCTACATACATCTTTGGGAAGGTTCAACATAGCCAAGGTTTTCTGTACTACTGCAAATGATGCAATGATCAAATCTTTTTGATGTACTATGGGAATTTTTTTTTTGAGAGGTTTTCGCTATAGGGCGCGTGCGCTCGCCAGATAGACAGAGACACAGAGACAGAAAGCGAGAAATCACTCCCCAGGTGGGATGGTCATGCCGCAATCCCTTCTCCTCCATTCTCCTCTCGGGATCCTGGGCACGCACGCACACGTGCCTGGCCTGAGTTCCAAGCCACCGGGTCCGGGACGCGAACCGTGGTCGACTACGTTGGAGTCCAGCGACATAGCCATTACGCTAACTGCTGGTTCCCACTATGGGAAATACTTGATTTGAAGTAAAATCCTTTTCACCATTAGCCATACTCCACGGCCATGTAACTATAAAAAGACTCCAAAGTAATTAACCCAATGATAACACCACCGTATTCTTATACCCACAACAAATGTACATATACATACGAAATACTCTGTTGGTGAACATCATGCACTGGAATAATGTAACACAGAGTATGGCAAAGAAGCCTACATACCAGGTGTCTCTTGATATAGTCATCCACTTGGTGCTTTAGTTCAACTCTGCGTGCATCAGTGAGCTCTTGAAGTCCTTGCCAAGGAGCAAACAGTTTCTTCTTCTTACGGCACTTTGCTAGGAATTTAAGAACCTGGGGGAAAAATTATGATTATTCTACCCTGAATAACAGAACTATTTTGCCCCCCGTACAACACACGGTAGTGACAATACTGCAATAGTGGCTAACTCAGACTGTGTATGAAAAAGAGGATGAGATCATGACAGGATGACACTGATATTTTAAATATATATATATATTATTCTCTAGTACTTCAACTTTTTTTTTTTAGGTTTTTGCCATAGGCCATACGTACTCACCAGAGAGAAACAGAGAGAGGGAAAGTAAGAAATCGCCTCCCAGGTGAGATGGCCATGCTGCAATCCCTTCTCCATTCTCTTCTCAAGATCTTGGGCATGCATGCACATACTCCTGGCATGATTTTCATGCTACCAGTCCAGGACTCAAATAGTGGTCTGCTACGTGGGAGTCTATAGCCTTAACCATTACGCTGCCACCTGGCTCCATGCTCTAATTTTTCACGAGGATATAGTCACATATTATTTATGCAGTAGGCAATGAAGATATAAAAAGGAAATAAGCATTGGGTTCTAGTTTCGATTCTAGTCTCTTATAAACTGTATGATTCTGGGCAAGTCACTTGATCTCTACAGGTTCTATATATCTATAGAAAACAGGGACTTTAATTCCATGTGTTCCACAGCATTGTAAATATTAAAGAGACAGAATGTGAGGAAATGTTTGGAATATATTATATAATTGTAAACTATAGGGTTGTTAACAAAAGTACCTGCCTTTTTTTTTTTAAGGTTATTGCCATAGGGCACATGCAACCACTGGAGAGAGGCAGAGAAAGGGAAAGTGAGAAAGCATCCCCTAGGAGGGATGGCTATGCCATAATCCCTTCTCCTCAATCCACCTCTTGGGATTTTGGGTATACAGACATATGTGCCTGGCATGTTTTTTAGGTTGCTGGGTCCAGGACTTGAACTGCAGAGTTGGTCATGTGGGATTCAGCAAGTTATCCACCATGCCACCTGCTGACCTGATAAAAGTACTTTCTGAATGCTATATCTCATGTCCTTCAGAATGGACCTCTGGCAAAATAATACATCTTGTAACAGGCATGATTTGGGAAAAATTTTAAGTTACTCCTCCCCAATTTTTTCTCTCATTTTCCTTCTTTGAAGTTTTTATTTTCATCAAAGTTACATAGTCACATTGTTTAATAGGAGTTGGCAATCATGGTTCACAGCCAGCTGCCTATTACCATATATCCTGAAAGCTAAAAATGGTTTTTTGTATTTTGTGTGATTAAAAATTCAAATGGAAGATTAGTGACATGTAAAATTACATAAAATTCCAAAATCCAATGTCTGTAAATAACAATTTATTGGAGCATGGCATGCTCATTTGTTCGTTATTGTCTATGGCTGTTTTTGTCTTATAGCTACAGACTGAACAGCTGTAGCAGCAGACTATATAGCCTGCAAAGCCTGCAATAGTCTTCTATCTGGCCCTTTCCAGAATAAGTTTGCTGAGGTAATTCTATTGTTTAAAATCTGAGTTTTGTAAGAATTATTATCAAAACAACTATAGTTCTCTGCCCACTTACCCTGTTCCCCAGACTCAAAGGCAACCTTGATTCTTAGCTCCATCTACTTTTCTGTAATTGCTTTTTTAAAAAAATATAGGTATTATCTATGAATTTTCTTATATAGAAGATAAGGATTTAGCTCTTTCATCACCTATTTTCCCATACTTTCTGCATTCCCATTTAACAACCAATGTAATTATATAATAATTTTAGTCAAATCAATATTCAGTATTTACATAAATGTAACTATATAAAGGCTATTCACATTTGAACCATGTCAAATACTATGATTCCTTCCTTGCAATTTTTGTTATTTTTGGGGATTTTATTATAGGGTGCATACATTCACTGGAGAGGAGACAGAGAGAGAGATACAGAGAAAGGGGAAGTGAGAAATCTCCCCCACAGTGGAGGATGACCACCCTGCAATCCCTTCTTTTCCCTTTTCCTCTTGGAATTTTGGGCATGTATGCACATATGAGTGGCATGATTTTCATATGCTGGGTCCAGGTCTTGAACTACAGCCAGCCATGTGAGAGTCCAGCTCCTTACCCATCATGCCACCTGCCAGCCTCCCTTGCATATTTTTTACTTTCTTTGGAATTAATAATTCTTTTTTATTCTCAACGCTTGGTTTGCTATATGCTTATTACCAACGTTTTACAAACTCTGCCCTAATTGTCACAACATTATAACACATCAGGATTTTTATCAAGTTCATTACTGGGTAAGTTTTTTTTTTTTTCTGGAGCTTTCTGAGTTGCTGCAATTTAGACCAACTGCTCTCCGTGCCTGGGCACAGCTATCATCCTGCTGTCTCCACTCACTTTTGTCTTGGTAGCTCCTTTTCATCTTTCTCTTCTGTTTCTTGTATTCTATGTCATCTTCTTTCTTATGTTACCCTGTTTCTTGTATTCTATGTTATCTTATGCCATTCCTTTGTTTTAAACATTTTATGATGCCTAAAAATTTCATTAATCTACCCTTACCTTTAACTGATATTTTGGTTAGGTATAGAATTTTAGTTGCAAATAATATTCCCTCAAACATGTCATAGTCTAATTTCAGTACTTTTTAGTTTCTAATGTTGCTGCTGAGTCTTTTTGTTCCCAGTGTATGTCATAGTAATGTAAAACAAATGTGGGTATGTATCTGTCACTATATTAGACATTTTGGTGGTCTCTTCAATCTAAAATATAATTATGACATTCCATTCAATGAAATCTTGAATTATTTAATTTCCTTTCCTGTTTTCTTCTGTTCCTTTTATTCAGAGAGAGATTTTTGCTATAGGATGCATGTGCTTGCTGGAGACACAGAGAGAGACAGAGACAGAAAGTGAGAAAATCAACCCCCCAGGGGAGATGGCCACGCCACAATCCCTTTTCCTCCATTCTCCTTGCAGGATTTTCGGGATGCATGTACCATGCGCCCAGTGTGAGGTTTAAGCCACTGGGTCCGGGACTCAAACTGCTGTTGACTACATGGGAGTTCAGTTATATAACCATTACATCATCTGCTGGTCCTTCTCTCTCTCTTTTTAACTGCCAGAGGGCATGTGTATTTGAGAGAGAGAGAGACAAAGAAAAAGAGGGAGAATGAGAGAGACAAAGAGAGCACCCTCTAATGAGGTGTAGTCACCCCATTTGTCCTCCAGTTAGGATTTTGGGAATTCACACATATGGACCTGGAGTGTTTTTCAAGCCTCCAGGGCCAGAAATTGAATTGTAGTTGGCCATGTGGGATCTGGTTTCTAATGAACAGCATTTAACAACTGTACCATGGGGCTTGGTTCTTATTTCCTTTTCTTGACTTCTCATATGTGGATGTTGACCTCTGGGCTGGTAATTTCTTCCTTTTGCTTTTTCTAAGATATTTCCTTAACTTTTTCCCTCAACCCTTCCATTATTTCAGTTTTTCTGCCAAATTTTATTTTATTTACTGCCTTTAATAGCATGTGGTTTTATTTCATTTATGATCATCTCTCACCACTCTGAGGAACTTAATAATAGATTAAAAAATCTTTTTCTTACTCTTGCAATGTCTCTAGTTTTTTTTTTGACATTGCTTTCTTCAGCTGTTCAGTGATTCTTATCTTTCAGCTGATATTGGAGGGTAGGCACTAAAAAGCTGTTTAGACAATCTGAACAGCTGGGAATGGCTTATCTATTCAGCTCTTTTCCTCATTCTTTGTTATTTCTAGACTACGAAGTTACATTTATTTTTCAACTTTTATTTATTTTCTTAACTGCTGATATTTGGTTCATTAAGTGCTTTAGTGATAGAAATGTGTAATTGTGGGGACCAGCAGATGGCGTAGTGGTTACATTACTACTCTGCCATATGGTCACCCATAGTTTCAGTCCTAGACCTGGTGACTTGAAACTCATGCTAGGCGAGTATGCATGTATGCCCAGGATCCCGAGAGGAGCCTGAAAAAATGACTGGAGCGCGGCCATCCCCTCTGGAGGGTGTTTCTCACTTTCTGTCTTTCTCTGTCTCTCCGGTGAGTGCACATGCCCTGTTGTAAAAATCTTTCTCAAGAAATTTTAAAAAAATTTAAAAACTTAAAAAAGAAATGTGTAATTGTGGTATAGGGTCTTTTCTGCTATAATCAAATTGCAAGAATTAGCTATCGTTCTGGCTCAAGAAACCAGTAACTACTACCCCCCTTCTGAGTTTCTTTTTTTCTTTTTAAAAGATGAGAAAGAAACAGAAGAAAATCCCAGAGCATTCAAAAGGAAAAGGCAATTTACTCTTCAAATTTCATTCCAACACTGTACCACTACAGAGAACTCCAGTTTGTCCATGTGAGTAAGGATGTATTATTTGAAACTAGCAAGTTTACAGAGGATTGTCTTGATCTTTTAGCTACTGGAGAGAATACTTCTGCTTTCGTCTAACCTTTGTTTTTCCATCAAAGACACTGCAGAACCTGTTTCTCCTGAAGGACAAGTGCAGTGAAAGGACAGTCCTACTCCTTTCTATTACTTTCAATAAAGCTGATGAATTATTTCCTTCTATTTCTTATTAACTGCAGCGCTGAAAGAAACATAATGTAATTTTAAATTTTCTAGTGGCCACATTAAAAAGGTAAAAAAAGGAGTGAAATAATAGTTTGAATAAACTAAGTTATCTAAAACATAGTATCTCCATATACACAAAATATTAGTATTTTAATATGTAATCAGTACAAAAAAGTATTTATGAAATAGTTCACTTTTTTTAAATGCTGGATTTTCAAAATCTGGTGGTGTGTGGGGTGGGTGGAAAGTGATACAATGGCAAAATGTGATACTCGATCAGGCTGACCCGTGTTAGAAGGTTCTGGGTTTGCATTTTCAGACCTTCCTGAGCATGTCAGATACATGCATGGTTGATCTGAGGCTGGCTGAAGCCGGGGGCAGATTGCAGCATCAAGATCCTATTGCATCAGTGTGGGTCTATAGTGTGTCTTAGGAAAGTATGCTTTAGAAATATGGCAAAATGTGTCCTTTACTGACAACTGCCCTCTTCTAATTTTCTCTTCTATTATTATTTTTCTTCCCTTTGTGTATTTTTGCATTTTTCTTTCTCTCTCTGCTTTATAAAATTAACCCTCTTACTTCTTTTTCTATTTGGCTAGCTTTGCTTTGCCTTCATTTTATTTTTAGTAATGAGGTGCAAAGACGATAACCTGACTGTGACCCATCCCCTTTTGTTCATACTTCAACCGTGTCTCATATTCCCTTTTTGGGGTCAGGCAGGTGTGAGAAATGTGACTAAATCTCTTCTAGTGCCAGTGGAGATACAAAAGCCAGAACAAGTTTGCCCTTATAGTTCTTAAATACTGTTCCATGATCATTCCTCTCTGAGGATCGACGGACAAACTGGGATATCTCATTTTATAGTACAATATAGTATGACCCTTTTACAAAGTATGGGGCTCATCTAAATCAGGCAAGGAAGTAAACTTCTTTAGTAAGGGCTCAGTAAATTCTTCAGTAGGGAAAACTTTAAAAAGGAGTTAGCCACAAGGTAAAAGTATTAGAAGGAGCAAAGTTTTCTCCAAAGGTAGTGTCTCCTTGGTATTAGTGACTGTGTTTAACAGAGTGTAAATATCAAGAGTACATGTGATGTAATGATGGTGCATGACTCTTTGTTGCAGATATATTCTGGGATTCCCCAGAAGAGTTTGAATAAGGAGGAGGAGGAACACATCTCTTCAAATTTCCCTAGTGTGTATTCTAGTGTGATTTTGGATGGTTTTAAAATATCCTTTAAAAACATAATCACAGGGACCAGCAGATGGCATAATGATTACATTGCTGGACGCCCACGTAGTTGACCATGGTTCAAGTCCCAGACACGGAGGCTTAAACTCACACTGGGTATGTGTGTGTGTGTGCGTGAGTACCCAGAATCCCAAGAGGAGAATGGAGAAGGGATTGCGGGTAGTTGCTGTGGGGGGGGGGTGGGGGGGGTGATAATTTCTCATTTTCTCTCTGTCTCTTTGGTGAGTGCATGTGCCCTATAGCAAAAATCTCTGAAAAAAAAAATCACAAAATCTATCATTGTCAAAACTAAAATTGACTTGGGAACCAGCAGTTAGCGTAATGACTATGTTGCTGGATTCCCATATAGTTGACCACGGTTCGCGTCCCGGACCCAGTGGCTTAGAACTCACACCGGGTGTGTGTGCGTGCGTGCCTAAGATCCCAAGAGGAGAATGGAGGAGAAGGGATTGTGGCATGACCATCCCCCCTGGGGGGTGATTTCTCGCATTCTGTCTCTATGTCTCTCTCTGTCTGTCTGGCGAGTGCACGTGCCCTATAGCAAAAAAACCTCCCCCCCCCAAAAAAAAAAGAAACTAAAATTGACTTAAAGTTAAAAAATAACTGTTAAGCTAAATATTATAAATAAATAAAGGATCTTAAGTTAAAATGGGGCTGTTAAACTTAATGCTATAGGACCTAAAATTCTTTTTTTTTTTTCCTTCAGTTTCTGCCATAGGGTACGTATGCTTGCTAGAGAGACGGAGAGGGAAAGTGAGAAATTATCGCGCAGGGGGGTGGTGATGCCATAATCCCTTCTCCTTTACTGTCTTGGGATTTTGGGCAAGAATGCACGTGCACCCAGCGTTGACTTTTTCCCCTGCTCCAGATGCAGGACTCAAACCACGGTTGCCCATGGGGAAGTCCAGCACCTTAACTGCTGCCATCCACTGGGCCCAGGACCTGAAATTCTAAAATGAAAATTAAGTATCTATATGAGATTAACTGGATATTAGGAAAAGCAGCCATTAAATAAAACCATAAATCCTTATTCTACGCTTTCTCAAAGTAAATCTAGGTAAAGTCCCAAGAAATTACCATTTGAGAATACTACTTAACAATTCAAGAGTCAAATAATCTAAGTATACCTAATATATTATCTGTTCCTTTTAAACAAAAATCTAACTGATATGCTGCACTTGCACAGAACTTTGCAATGTATAAAACGCATTCCCATAAATTAGGTGATCTGAGCCACATAAAAACTGAGTGAAAAAGGTAGACAAACATTCATTCATGCATCAGACAGAAAACATTCACAGTATCAACAATGCTATGGTAAATGCTGTAAAAGTTTCTCTGGCAGTATTAAGGACTGAAGTCTAAACCAGTTTGGCGAGAGGTAAGGAGGTTCTTTTTTTTTTTTTTTTTTTTTAGGGGTTTTTGTTATGGGGCGTGGGTGA